TCAGCAGCCCATATCAGTAAGGTTTTGCCAAGTGTCTGCAGGCCAGCAGCCTCATCCAGCGCCATGTATCCCCTGTCTCCGCCTCCAGCCTTTGTGCCCCCTGCTCCACCTCAGCCCGTCAACACTTCGGCTCCTCCCTCCCTCGGCTCCACTGGAATCTATGAGCCATACGGCTTCTCAGGGCTCCCTCATCCCTCCGGCTCTGCCTTGGTCAGTCGTCGGCCTGCCTGCAGTGCAATGTTGTATCAATGAAAAATTCAAATAAGTCATTTGTGTCAACACGTATTGAAACATTCAAAAAATAAGATATATGTGTGAAAGCATATTGTTGATTATTACCATATAATTCACTTAAGTTAATGGTGTTTGTGGTCAGTTTCATTCGCAGGTCCTCAGATACGACTGACTGACCAATATTGACTAGCCTACAACTTGGATAAGATTCCTAAAAGTTTCGTACCTACAGCACACATTATAGACATTGATGCACAAACGCGGATATATTCTACATGTCTACCGAATAAAGAATGAATAAACCAGTCTTATAAACTCCTTGATTTCGCTTAAGCAACTTTTAATATAATATGCATTGACAGTAAACTATTGTAAAATGTATTTACATCACTCGAAAGAAAGGTTTTTACAGGTTTTAATAAAATGTAAATTAATAACAGTCATAATACGCATATTTCCAGTACGTTATTTCAGGCTTGCACGGTATTGTCAACTCACTCGTCAGAATCTTCGGTAATCCTCGGCAAACTGCGCCATGGCTCATTCGGTTCTTGTTGAGTCCTCGGTAATCCTCGGCAAACTTCGACAGTTGGTTGAACCGGCTCATTCGGTTCTTTTAGAGTTGGACGTGCTACTTCGGCTGTGCCTCCTGCATCATCAACCCAGAACTAAAGTTTGATTCAGTTCGATTTGTGAACCGGCTCGACCCTTTACTTCCTGAGAACCGGCTCAAAAGAACGATTCGTTCAAGAACCGAACATCACTACTATTTACATCGTGTTGAGAGCGCTGTGTTCTGCGTTGTGAAGGCAAGTTTGTTTTGTTTTCATTGCCGAAAGATGATGATGACTTACTGGGCATTCTAACACAGTTCCCACACGTACACCTCAAATAAGTAAATAATAATAATGAATGCAATAAAACTGCTGTCACATCACGTGCTGAAACACTTAGAGGGAGTGAAGAATGAAGGTAAGGCGGCTTAGGCTATTTATAGAGGTTCTCTCTCGAGCTGATAGGATAGATTGTGTAATTGCTGATGATGAATTGGTCGGGTTAATTATCTAAACGTGCTCCTTCCGAACTTTGTCAA